ATTTCTCCTTTCTGAAAAAATTATAGAAATAAGCAACAAGATGTTTAAAGTAGTCGAACAACAATAATATTTAGAATAATATTTTAGCACAGCACTAAAATTACAATTGTTTAAAGAAAACTATGGTATGTCAATACTACTAAAAGGGAAACAAATATGAGTGCATGTATGCATAATGATTCAGCAAAATAATAAGGACGTATATTGAAAGTTTTAGTTGCAATCCCTGTGCTGACATTTTGTGTTAAGACTGGCCAGTGGGAGGCAAGTTGGAAAGGGCTGGTGTTTTGGGATATGTCTACACTGCAGAGCTTTGCTGGGATATCTGCCATGTCCAAGGAATACGTCTGCTTTTCGGAAAAAGCAGACGCATTTTGTAAGCATCCCTATAAACCATGTTCTCTGAGGAAGAGGGGATGTTCTGAAAGAGGTTTTTTTTTTTCCTGACATTTGGCCCCATGTAGATGGGCCAAATGTCAGAAAAGCCTTTTTTGGAAGAAAAGCGTAAAAAGATACACACATTGTGGTTCAGAATTTGTGTATCTTTTTCCGACTTTTCTTTGTAGTGTAGACATAGCCTTGATTATCTAACCTAAATGAAAAGAAGTGGCAATTGATTAGTATACCGTCTTTCCAAGACCCACAACTCTTGGCTGAGTTACTGTGGAGATATTTATTTTTAAGAGATGATAACAAGAGCTAAAAATGAAGCTTAGTTAGGCTACATGATGACTAAGGATTTAGTTCCACTGCAAATATTTGAAAGATGTAAATACTAACCACAGAGGATTTATTTAGGGTAGAACATGAGCACAACTTGGAATCTTGGGGTAAAATTAAGAAAGGAAATATTACCAGTGAATCACAGGAAAACATCTAACAGTAAGATGAATTAGGTACCGGATAGTTCTCTGATGAAAGTGCTCCAATTACTTGGGACATTGAAAAAATAGGATAAAACACTAGATATGTACTGCAAGGAATAATCTTCTAATAGCAGGGAAATAGAATAAGTTGATGTGATAGGTCTCTCACATCTCTAACATAATACAAGGCATAACACTGTTGAAAACAAAATCCACTTGGGAAAAACGGCATAGTTCAAAATATTCTAAGAGCATTTGGAAGCAAATATACAATAGAGTGTTTCATTAGATATATTCCTGTTTAAAAGTAATGTGATTAGATTATTTCTGAACTATTTGCCCCTATTTTGGAATATGTCATATATATTAAATTACTTCATTGGTAATCACTTGCTTTGGTGATATTGCACATACGTATCTAATAGTAACAGTAGCAGCAGCAATAGTGATAGTGTTATTCACCACCAATGACAAGACAGCAGCTTACAACTGTGACGATGCAGTATCAAAATTCCCCATTCCTATGCATTTTTTAAGAGAGAACGCTGATATTCTGATGTCTAATTTGATTTATTACAGAAAAGATGCCTCATTGTAGCATCGGTGTCACTCCTCTACTTGCAGTTTTTGGTGCAGTGAGTCAGAGGTGAAAGTAATTTAAAATTTCTTACAGGTACTGTCCTATTGCAATTCGGGTTCCTGCCAGTTCTTTAAATAGCTCCCTGCTGGCTTTTGCCTCAGCTCAGCCAACTCTTGCTGGAGCTGTGCACCAGTGCCCACCCACTTACTTTCATCTCTGCAGTGAGCACCATCTGACAAAAATGACCCCAAACAGCTACAGTTAAGTATCTTGTATAGGGAGAACTAACTGCTGAGGAATATAAAGAAGATACTGCTGCTCATCATGTTGTGACAAGTCACATAAAGAGGATACTCGTCTACCAGAACAAACAGGAAGTTTTTCTTTCTTTCTTTTTTTTTTTTTGACTTTGTAATAGTAAATTTGATATTTGAAGGGTTATTTTAGTAAATGATGGTGGGTTTTTTTTCCTTTGAACATTTGAGTAATATCATCAGTGTAACAATCACTATTACTACTACTGCTCTCAATACACCCTTTTTCACCCAGATCATATTCAGAACTGATATCATCATCTTCATCATCTCAAGACACAGTATTGTCAGAATTGTTTTTACACCTGCTGTAGGATTTTAGAGGCTTGGACTACATTGCCATTCCAGAGGCATGTGCAGAAAAAAATGGAGGCCAGCAAAATGCACAGTCCCAGTAGACCTTTTAGTGTTTTTATTGGGCCAGTTGTTCATTTATTCAGTACCCATTTGCACACAGCCTCCCTTTTATTGTCAATGTCTTAGGCACTTTTCCTCTCATCCCGGATTATTTAAAGGAAATCTCCACGTACAGGTCCATCCTGACACAAACAAGTGTTTCGATTTCGTGCTCATGTCAGATTTAAAAGAAAATATTTGGCTTTTGTCAAAATTATGAATAAGCACAATAGCAATGGACTCCACATATTAGTGTCACTACAAAGCTTTTGATCAGTATAGTAAAATATTTTCAGTTTATAATGATGATGATGTAAATAATCAGTTACTGAATTACCTGTACAATTATTTAAACATGTTTATAAATATCACATTTACCTTAACAACATCTACAAGGGGGCTTAATTCACATTTATTGGCTTTTGCCACAAGACAAAACAAAAGAGCCGTAACACTGGCTTACTTGTGGATGTGTATACTAGTGAACTGGGGGCACTGTACACGGGAGATCCCTCCTGGTTTGCCTGGCACAGCAGCACCCTGCCTACGAGAGAGAGAAAGAGAGAGAGAGAGAGTGGTATCTGGTTTTGGAACACTCAAACTAAACCTGCATTTTTATCCCAAAACAAAAATAAAGCCATAACACTGTGGAAATACAGTGAAGCAGGGGCACTTTTCACCCTTTGACTTCAAAACAGAAAGAGCCCCAATGAACACTTACAAATGTATATTAGAAAAGCAAAACACATATTTCTCCTCCTCCAAAATATAAATATCCATTTTTATATGAGGAGGCTGGTACAGTCTGTGTGAATTCCATGCATGCTGGCCCCTCAAGCAGTTATACTGCTGTGCTTTATTGCAGCTGCTCTCTCTCAGTCTCTTTCCCCTGTATTTTTTAAAGTAGAGGCTGCCTAATTAACCTTGCTTCTGACTTAGGCAATGCAACCACCCACACCACCTTTCCTGAAACGAGAGGCTGCTTGAACAAACACAGCAGATAAATCAAGCTGAAAATCTCATAAGTACTGATTATGGAACACATAAAATCCCAGTCATATCAGAGTAAATTCAAAATAGTTCCATTGACTCCAAAGATTTACTTGGCTTGACACTGGTATGAGGGAGAACAGAATATAAGTACTTCTTTAGCTTCCTGCACTTTTGGTATTGCCGGAGTCAAAAATACAGGAGAAAACTTCATGAAGTGGTATATCAGATGTATTCAGAAAGTACGGAGGTGCACAACAGACAGAAATTCTAAAAGGTTAATGAAAAAAAATAATGACTTTGTTTTAGCGAAAGATTTAGGTAGGTTTTTATTTTTTTCCCCTCTCATTTGGGGGAAATTTAATCAGTGCTTTGCTTAGTTCTACATTTCTACCTTAGCTTTGCCTGGACAATGTTAGTGAGAGATTGAACATTGAACAGACATGAAGTAACTACCTTTCACGGAGGACCAATCGGTGTCAGGAATGAGGCCAGAACATGGAATGTATGAGGACAAGTGGGCTGTGCTACATTAATTTTGGAGATACTGTTGATACTTCAGACTTTTAGTATTGTGAATTCTCCAACTTCATAAAAACTGAATTTCACTTCAAAAATTAAAACACAACAGGCTAATTTCTGCATTGACTTATAACCCATGCAAACCCAATGAGTTCAACAGGGCAGATTTTGGACAAAAGTGAGAGTGGTAACTTGAGGAACCTGCCTTCAAACTTAGCAATTCTGGTTGATTATATGAAATTGTTTTCATAGAATAATTGTATCATGGAATGCCTTTATATGAACTAGAATCCACTGGCTGACAGGGTCTTCCAGACCAGGAATAGGGGAGAGCCATTCACCTTAATCATTGTGCTCTGACTGAACAATGGGTATGCTAAGGAATTCACCTGAGGGAGGAAACAGTTTGACCAAATATTTCTGCAGAGAAATGGTGAAGTACAAAGTGGAAAATCACCAGCAGCAGAACAAAGAAACCAGATATTGACAGAGTAGGATGGGAAGCTTTGGACAGAAGAAAGACACAGGCATACTATCATAGCAGGGGGTCTGGTTTAACTAAGGAGCCAACAAAAATCAGAGAAAGCTAGCTGACCTAGATAGTCTCCATGACTCTGAAGAGAAGGATACTGGGCCCACCAGAGAACACTGCCTAAGCATAAAGAACTTTCCAGAGAAAACAGAGAAAAGGAAAATGGATACAGTCCAGTTTATTATTTTTTCCAGAGCAGCATATCTCTTGTGCTGCTAAGTAAAGAGTAAACTGTGTTTATAATCCTGCACAAAACCTGCATGTCTGTTTGGTTTCACTACTGTGTGCCCCGGTGTCCCCAGAGTGTGTTTGTCCAAGCACACACATGAGTTCTGGAAGAGAGTGTGCTTAAGCAGGAGGGGAGGGGAGGCAGAAGAGCCTGGGGCAACCGCCCCACTGCTGGCCCTGCTCTGGCCCCATTCCACTCCTTCCCAAGCCTCACTCCCATTTCACCCCGCCTCCTTACCACCTCCCCGAGCAACGCTGCCCAGGGACTTATGAAAGTCTGGCTCGGCAGCAGCAGGGTTCACCTCCATTCCCTACTCGCCACTCAGGCAATGGGAGATGAATAGTCCTAGGAGCCTGCTCTGCTCCCTGAGGTGGTAGGAACAGGAGCAGGTTGGGGGTAGGGTGCTCTGCTTCCCATTGCCATTGAGAAGCCGAGAGCAGCAGGCCGGGAGAAGCCAGCAGGGCAAGGCAGAGCAGGCTGCCCTTCTGTCTGCTGCTGCCATGGTGAGGGGGAGGGAGGGGCAGAGAGACCCCCGTTGCCACTTCTTACCAGGCTCACATAATTCCCTGGGCCCTTCCCGTCCAGAGACAGTTGGGACAGCCACTGTAGGGCCCCCAAAAGCATGGGGCCTGGGGCAGCCACCTATTGATGGAACAGCTCTGTGCTTAGGCTATGGGAGAGTCTGAGGGTTCAGCACTAGTCCCAGGGGAGAGGCAGTTTGACCCGTGGGTGCCAGCTCCCAGGCAGGGATACTAGACAGGAGAATTCACACACCCTCAGGGCAGTGCCTGGACTCCGTTCAGAACCAGGAGATTAAAGCACGTGAAGTGGTCCCCAATTACACCTGCTTTGGGAATGTCCAGCTAGAGGAGAAGCTCTGCCAGAGCTGTGTACTTCGGGCAATGGCCTGTGCAGTTAAACTTTTCAAAGGCCAAATCTAAATATTACACATGAATTCTTACCCAAAGAAAATGCTGGATAGATTTCCTATGTAGAATTTGGATACCCTTTTGAACAACTAAAAGCTAATCCACACCTGAACCCAGGACCAGACCAAATGCTTATGTATAATTGTCTGGACTGAACAGTGATTTGTGGTTCGCCAATCACAAATCTTTAAGGCAGGGATGACTGGTGAAGGATGATCAGAAAGGCCACTGGACATGTGACCCCTGCCAGCATGGGGAAGGACTGGGCCAACCCCACTCCACTCCAGGCTCAGCCCCCGTCTCCAACTGATATAGCCCAATATCTGGCAGGGCCAGTGCCAGCAGCAGGAGTCTGGTCCCTCCGTATTCACTGGCAGCAGCGGGAGAAGAGGAGCAATGTGGCCCTAGCTCACTTGGCTTCCTTAGCAGCATCACTCCGCTTCCTGTCAGTGAGAGTGAGGGTGGTCCCGCCCCTCCCCCAAGCAACGTGGCCAGGATTGCAGAGCAAGCTGGGGACACTTTCCGCATGCCCCACTGCTGCCAGTGAGTGCGGGGAGGGGAGACACCTCTGTTGCAGACACGAGCTCCCCGCCACACTAGTCCCTAGGGCCACCCAGTGATTCTGGTCCTCCCAATTGCTGGCCAACGGTTTGTCCCACCCATCCATGGTGCCTGGGGGGATGTGCCCCCATGCCTCTCTTCACATCGTCCCTGCTTAAAGCGATGTGATAAGCTCAAATTTGACCCAAATTGTTAAAAACAAAAACTGAAAAAGAAGTATCTCAAATATGTTTTTAAAATTGCCAGTACAACAAATATTCCCAGAGCGGGACACAGTTAAGCAAGATATCCACATTCAGGGCAGCACTTACATCGGTGGGATTTATACACATGCCTAAGTGCTGTCTTGAATATGCATGTATTGAAGTGGTGTTTGCAATCTGGCTATTGCAACATTGTGCTACTGCAAGAACCTGAAAACAAAACTGACTAGAAACAATAAAAAAAAAATTAACAGATTCGTTTTTTTGTTTTGTCCAAGGTGAGCAAATTGCAAATATAAATGAACATAAGCACAGGAAACTGTATTAGATTTTAAAAATATGTCAGCCTTAATAACTGTTGAGAATGGAATCATCCAACTAGAAGGGGCCTTGAGAGATCAAGTCTTGTTCCTTGTACTCATTGCAGGACCAAGAACCAGTTAGTCAGACCAAAACAGGGGTTTGTCTAACCTGCTTTTAAAAATCTCCAATGATGGACATTCCATAACTGCCCTATGCAATTTATTTCAGTGCTTAAGCACCCTTAATGTCCAACCTAAACTACCTTGTTGCAATTTAATCCCATTGCTTTTTGTCCTGTCTTCTGAGGATAAGGAGAATAATAAGTTATCATCTCCCCTCTCAGTCTTCTCTTTTCCCTGACTAAACAAACCTAATTGTTTGCATAGGTCATATTTTCTAGACCTTTAATCATTTTTGTTGCTCTTCTCTGGACCCTCTCTAATTTGTCCACATCTTTCCTGAAATGCGGCACTCAGGATTGGACACAATACTCTAGCTCAGGGCTACTCAGCACAGAATAGAGAAGAATGATTTTGTGTGTCTTGTTCACCACACAACTGCTAATACATTTCAGAATGAAGTTTGCCTTTTTTGCAACAGTGTTACATCATTGCCTAGAGAGGCTAAAACAGATAACTGTTTTAACTCAGGGCCTGCTGCCTGGCTACCCACCAAAGCCTGCTACCCAGACCCACGGGGTTCTGTTGTCAGTCCCACTGCTGCCATGAGGTCCAGCTGTCTTTCCCACTGGTCCCTCCAGGGCCAAGGCTGCTTTGGTCAGGCATGGTTGGCCATCACCGGACTTCATCAGCAAAGGCAGGTTAACCAGTAAGCATACCAGTAAGCCTCATGCCTACTGGTATGTTTACCAAGTTAATTGTTTAACATCCCTACTACTGAATCATATTTAGCTTGTGGTACGCTCTGGCTCCTAGATACTTTTCCACAAGTACTCCTTCCTAGACAGATATTTCTCATTTTGTATGTGTTCAACTGATTGTTCTTGCCTAAGTGGAGTATTTCGCATTTCTCCTCTCTGAATTTCATCCTATTCACCTCAGACAATTTCTCAAGTTTGTTCAGATTATTTTGGATTACAATCCTATCCTCCAAAGTACTTGGAACTTTTTCTGGCTTTTTATCATCTGCAAACTTTATAAGTATACACTCTATGCCATTATCTAAATCAGCGTTTCCCAAACTATGGGCCGTGGCCCGGTATCGGGCTGCGGGAAAAAAATACCGGGCCTCAGCATGCCTGGTGGCTACCGGCCT